CATTTACATTGCTTTTTTTTCCTATTAATATATTTTGACTTTGCATTATCAACTCTTTTATAAGATAGAGGTACCACCATTTAATAAATCAATATATTATTGTTTGTTTTGTTGGTGTTGTAGTTGGGGGGCTCCATTCATATGAAATATCAACTATTATTATATTATTAATCTTGCTGAAATTTAGTATTGTAAAAAGTATTGTAGAAAAGGATTAATTTATCGTCATCCCATGTTCACTGTTTCATCTCGTGTGAAGGGGTTGGGGAGGGAGAACAAACAGTGTTTCATGCTGGTTTGTATGCAACGATGTATTATATTCCTGAAAAGGCCCGTGGTCGTACGTTTATTTTCTGGGCCATTTCTGTTTATTGTAATTTGATACTTGTACTATAACATGTTTGTTAACTATATTGATAAAATATACCTTTGATTGTCATTATCGTTCGTTGAAATAATATCGAGAATGACCCTACACGCTTGGATCTTAAGGAACAAAATGGAATTCGAATTTGAATTTGAAGACACACTCACACACGAATATATAGATATGTGTGCGTGTGTGGGTTGTGTGTGTAATCAAATGTTATTGATTATAATCCAAACGAATTGGATCATCCTCATTTTTTGTTTAATATCAATGGATAACTAAAGTCAAAAGTATAATGTAACAAAGATAATCGGGTGCAAATGTCAAAATTACAATAACAGAGGAATATCAAAATTAACGTAATTCCACATGTCTTTTTGAGAATAATTTTTGTTTCCTTCATTCCATCCCATTTTTCTCTTTTCCCCCTTATTTGTAAAGCGAGAAAGAGAAAGAAAAGAAAAAAAAAGAAAAAAGACCCCACACACAATTTGACAGTAAAACACTATAGTGTTGGTCTTGTAGGCAGTCGGACTGCTGTAGCGGCATAGACGCCCTGTTTTACAAAATTATGAGATTGGTATGAATCATCTTTTTTTTGTTTTCTTTCTTTGAGCGGGAGGTGAGGATCTTCTCACATACATCAGCATGTTACTGCCGTATCAGCCTCTTTTCATAGTCATACAAAGACTACTATACGAGTGACTTCGCGAGGCATGTGTCATACAACCTCGCAGTGGCGTATCCAGACATTGATAAAAAGATGTAGGAAATTTACGTCAGTTTCCCAAATGTCCATTGTCTGAAGACAGGTTCCCAAAAGAAAAGTGAAATATATTTATGTGCACTTCTGTCCGTTGTTTTTAGACGTCCACTGACATCAAGATTGGATTGGGTTTTTATAAATGATTTCTGAGCCTCAAAACGGGGCGGCGTATCGAATCCAACACCCTCGTTTCCATGATTATAAATAATCAAATATTTGATTTTTGTATTGCTTTATACTCAAAATACTCGCAGGATTGTCTGGGGTGCAAGGTCCACCAGCTCCATATATGATGTATTTGTTATTTTGCGGATAATTCAACTTTCCTTTCCGTTCTACCATTCATCTTCAACAATAGAATGTTTCAGCACCGCGGGTCTTTGGTAATTCCTATCCAGTTCTCATGCATGTTCAATCAATATTGCGCAATGTCACCATGCAGGTGTGACGTGTCGGGATGGTCTTGCACAATCCGCTAACATTCTTCATCATGCAATATGCTGTTAATGTGGGGCACTGTCATTATTTGAGGCCAGTGGTCTTATTTGGTGGCTGGCATGCGAATAGACCACTTCGTAGTTAGCACATGGGTCAAATGACCCCAACATTTCCACAGATCTTTTACTCATGGAGAAGTCCCACTTTATGTATTTTAGAATAATCAATGCTAAAGTCATGTATGTGCTTAATGAAAAACTTTCGTTTGCCCTCTTGTATCATAGAATGTACCGTAGGTGCACACATTAATAATAGGGACTTTTAGATTGAGTGGACGAGAACACGACGAACGCCGACTGATCATGCGTGTCAACGTACTTAACTGCCCATGTTGACTACAATTAGAAATCTTTTAGATTGCACTTGACGATATACATGCATGCAGGAAGTAACACGATGAACATCACGGACAAAGAAAGTTCATCATTCTACCCTCAACAAAAGAACATCCCTTCACTGCTATTATGTAAAAAAAAAAAAAATGTGTAGAACGGGTGAATATGCATGTGACACCTGTTCTACACATTTTTACATAATAGCAGGGAAGGGATGTTCCTTTGTCTACCTGAGGAACTGTATATTTTACGCGTAAAGGCGTAAAGGCGCTACATAAATACCAAAATGTATGTATGTACTAGATTTACGAAAATCAAGGTTGACGCATTCTCGATCGCCGACTGAGACGACGTAACGCATGCGCAATGCCTTAAAATGACGTCACACGTTGCAGTCAAAGCTGTCGACGTGCAAATCTAAAAGTCCCTAATGATTATATAACATGAGCACGTATTCCTGTCGGTGGGTTTTACAATTTTATCAGAAATTACCTTTATCTGCCCATGCGCAGATAGTATTTACGAAATCGCACCCGCCCCTTTCGCTCTCTCTCTCTCTCTCTCTCTCCCTCTCTCTCTCCCTCTCTCTCTCTCTTTATTTCCTCTAAGATTCGACTGAGGAACCCCCCCCCCCCCGTAGACTTATAAAGACTACGCAAACAAATGAGTACCCGGAACCCCATACACTGATTCTTTGATTCATCACCTCTCAAGTTTTGACTGAAAGTAAACTCAATGCAAATTATATCCACGATGTTTGACAGCAGCACCCCGATTCCACATCCCCCAAAACCCAACCTACACATTAACCATTGAATCCCTTTTTTCATTAATTACTAGTTCTGCCTTTGTGTTTTTATCTTTATTGTTATACCTCTGTCATTATTTTCATTATCACACCTATCACAACTTATTTATCATAAAGATATTAATTATCATGTCAGATCAATAGCACATTGTAGATTTGTTCTGAAAGGTACAATTGGTTATCCATGATGAGAATGAGAAAAAGACTACCTCACATCGTGAATATGAGGTGATAATTGACAGAATATTTGGTAGTTGGACACACACATACTGACAAACACATTAATTGTCTCGTATGTATGATGGATACTATTATAGATGGATCAACGCCCCTGCAAATGAGGGAAACCACTGACTCGATACACAGTACAAATACCACTGTGGTAAAAGTAGAACAAAGTTCGGAGATAAGCTTCATCAGTTTATTCTGATTCTGATTCGTTACATGATTCTTTAATAACAACAAGAACAAAAAGCAAAAACGTGGGTTCTATAGTCATGTGAATGAAACTGCCAAGAAGCAATCGGAAATGATATTGATTATGCATTTCATATGACTTGATGTATGCTGTTACGTTCGAAACGATCAAAATAAAAATAAATTGGATCAATATTGTTGAAAATCACAAGCACCGCAAACGAAAAGGAGATCATTGGACTCCACACACATATGGCATAAAAGGTTGGTCCAAACGAAAAAAGGGAGATTTGTTTCGCTGTTCTGTTTCATTAACACGTGTGAGTTTAATCCTAGGTTGAATAAATCTCCGTTATAAAATTGTATACCTGTGATTCATGCAATTATAATAAACGACCGTGAGGATACAAAATCAATATTATACTATAATGTCAACCTTTCTTCCCGGATTCTGATAAAAAGAGTAATTTCTCAATATTTTAGTACTTGTCATCAGCAAATATTCTTCAATTTGGAAGTATATTCTTTCATCGGCTTTCATCTAATACACTGCTCTTCTTTTTTTTTAACCTCAACAACGTTAATAGTAGATCACCGGTATTAGATGATAGAAATTTATTCTACATGTAATGAAGAATTTCACAAACCTTTAATGAAAATCTTGATATCTATACAATCAATACGCTACACAAAATAACCTTCATGCACATCAATTTTCTATTTACATCTTGGGGGATATAATGGGTAAATCGTGATTTTTAACAATGCTTCATTTTCTTAGGAGGATTGTGGTTCATGTAATTCCAACCAAGAGACAAAATTCACATGTAAATCCTTATAATTCACCTTTCACAGACACCGTTAAGAGTAGCCTACTGTTAATTGCACAGCATCATCTCACGGTCAACTTGCCAACACTGTACAACAAAATAATGGATTTCCACTTTGCTGCGAGAACCAACGACACCATACTGCTACAGTTGACTTGACATGGCACTAGAAGGGATATTGCGGTAGGGCTTCTAGTAAAATATGGCACTAAAACAACTTTGAATCGTTTGGAAACGATCAATATTTTTTAAAAGTTCAATTTTTGTCCGATTGTGATACTCTAATCCTGCTTGATGTCTTAAAAAGACATATATCTGTCCGTGTTCTTCTATTCTATATGGTACTATTCAAGTATCAAACAGGGAAAAGGCGCGTTAAAAAAAAAACACATATCTTTCTGCGCCGGTATAGGATTGAAAAAATCCGCACCTAAAAAGTACAAATTGTGTGATAGCATGGATAGCGGAGGAATATAATTTTTTCATAAAGTCGAGTGATTTTTTAGTATTCGGAGGGCAGCAAAGCCAAGTGTTATAGAGCAAATGATCCACTTGAAATAAAAACAGAAAATATAAATAATATTTACATAGGTTATGAAACGACTAAGTATACATCACAAAGCGCATGCAATAATGATGGTTGACATGTATTTCGATGCTGTCTCTTAAACTAGCATTTCTCTGCTCAGGCCAATGTTATGCCCCTTAAGAGTAGCCATTGCTCACTTGGTCAATACCAATTGTTTCGGTTTCTTACAATTGTAATCCTTTAAATGACACATAAAATACTTGTTCTTGTTGTTGTGCATATTGTAGTCTAGTAGGTCTTGCATATCTTCCAAAAGCCCTTAAAGACCGTCAATACTACTGGGCCAGAAGGGATTAGAACACAAAGCGAGGTCACTGACAGGTGGTTATCTCATTAACTCAGCTCTTAACTAAAGAGGATCATGGGTGACCAACAGGCACCGATTGGGAAAGTTTTCTAAATAGAGGGAGCAAGTAGCTACACGTAGGACAGTGGGGCTTTAAAACAAATAATGAAAGTTAATTCCAATGAAGGATACTGAAACCGAAATATTATAAACAGATTAAAAAGACCTTGGCCAATCAGTGTACTACGAATTCGTTATCAATTTATTCCTAACGCGTTATACATCTCAATAAACTCAATAACAGCTTAAATAAATCAATTACAATCTTTCAATGCAGCACATCTGGGTAACATCAAAGTTACGAAGGTCAGTAGAATTCATAAACCGTGTTTTATATTGAATGTAAACATATTCCTGCAAAATGTCTAGCAATATTTGATGTACGAAGATTCTGATCGCATATTCAGGCATGAAACGGGACATAGACTCGTTGGTGGACTCCTCTGCGACCACCCCTTCTACCTCGACCTCTTCTTCCACGTCCTCGTCCCCTCCCCCGCTAGTGTTGCTGACCACCTATACCTCGCTGACCAGGCAGAAGTCTCTGAGCGGGCTCTCTCCTGCTCAGCCTTCTCTAAGTCGCAGTCCTCGCACGGGCCCTTCTTCAGCTGATGATTCGAAACAGGATGTCCTTTGGCACAAGTAAACCACATGGTTACGTCGAAGGAAAGACGCGGAGGGCGTTTAAAAGTCAGTAGGCCACTGCCAGTATGGCTGATCCCATTAGCACTGCTAATTCCTTTGAGGATGACATGCTAATGTCATATTCCTATCCCGGCCTATATGGAGAAGTCTGGTTACTTCTTTTGATTCTGTTGCTCCTCCCCTCAGTACTTCGGCCAAATCAAACATGAGCGTCACTCGATTCATCTCAATCCAGAGGTCTTTCGCGCGCTGATTTACGAGTGCATTCAGTGAAAACATGCTTTGTCTGTGCAGTTCCTCTGTTGATGCCTGGAGTAGTTCATGAAGTTTGTCCAAAAGAATTATAAGTTCTCCCAATGCCCCAAAGTAAAACAGCGTTGATTAAATCTCTGTTGTTGATTATAGTGGCAAAAGCCGAATGGTTTCCCTTGCCAACATGACGGATGAGTTGACTCTAATCAGGAGGTGCTCGTTCTCAATTCTATTGCGAGCATATTGTAGCTTTTCCACGATTCGCGGCTTATTCGCTTAAGATTCTGTCAAGAGATTATTGTAGCGATGAATCGACTGGATTGGTTTTTGCATCCTGGGCAAGTTTTTACCTTGAAAAAGATTTTTTTTTTTTACAGGAAATACATGGTGCACCATGGCAGGGCGCATTCGTGGCCGCACACCAGTTTTGTCTGACAAGTCTCAATGCAGGGGTGATGGAAACGACCTTGTGAGCATTTTCCACAGATCCATTTGCACTTGTGCCCACATATCAAGATCTTCTCACAAGCAATGTAGCATGCGTCGCTTTCATCGCAGCATTTAACGATTACCTCATGACCACATGGCCAGTCATTTCTTGAGATCATCTCTGTGCAGTTCTCAGTGCAATCCACCCCGCACCATTCCTTGCAAATGTGGCCACATGGAAGCTGCTTACTGCACCTTGCTTTGCATACTACTGTTTCTACTTCGATCGAACAAATTATCTTCATTCTGTGACCGCAAGGCAAGGTTTTCTCTACAAGTTCGGAACATTTACTTTTGTGACAGCACTTTTCTATTACTTCGTGTCCACATGAACGATTTTTTATTGTAATAGTGTTGCACAGAAGATTGACAATACTTGTGGAACAAAGAAGAGTATGTGTATGTCCACATGGCAGGGTTTTCTCAACGTTTTCCTTGCATCTGATGTTCTTTGGATCTCTATGGCACGCTGCTTGGCAGGTATGGTTACATCCCAGAACTTTCGAGACTATCTCATCACATCGTCCACTTCCGTTACATTTCTCCGTCTTTCTGTGGCCGCACTGCAGTTCCTTGTTGATGATGACCTCGCACTTTTTTTCAAGTCCCGCCGTTGACATGTGGCAAGGAACAGATTGGAAATGTGAGCAACTTAAAGTTTTTTCTATCTTTTCCTCGCACATGATGGACTGAATGTCGGTCTTACACTCCGTTTTACAGACATGACGGCAGGGCAGAATCTTTTCCACAATGACTGAACAAAAGGGGCAAGGATCTGAGCAGAGCATTGGACATTTGTGGTTTCTCTCACAGATAACCTTGGAGCAAGGATCCTTGCACTTGTAGATGAGATGCTTTAGATCCGTTGGGTGACACTTTAATCGACAAGCGTGTCCACAGTCAAGCATGGTATCACAGTCTCTACTACATCCTCCTAATGGTACCTTCTTGAAGTCATCGTCAGTTTTCACCGCTGTCCCCTCTTCTGGATGATTGGTGCATTGCAGCGTAAGGGAATCTCCGATAGATCGCATTGCTTCTAGATCTTTTACTATGCCCTTCCATAGCTCACTCTTTTCTGCAAAGAGGGTGAAGTTTCCAACGCAGTAGAGCCCTATCTTCGCTCTTGACAAGGAGACACAGACTCGGTTCGAAATCCCCAAGAATCCAATTTGACCATGACTGTTGCTCCTCACATAGGACAGAATAATGATATCATTCTCTTCTCCTTGGTAGTTGTCTATTGAATTAACGTTGACTCCCTCAAACTGGCTACGATCCATCATCTGCTTGATTTTCAGTAGCTGACCTGTATAAGCTGTGAGGATTGTAACCTTATCAGGTTCATACCCCTGCTGCAGGAAGTAGTAACACAACGCTACTACGAGTCTGGCCTCATGGAGATTGTAGTGGCTCTGAGTATCTTCCATGTCATCTTCTGGTTCCGCGTGATCTAGAAAGAAGATATCGTTTTTAACTGCTTTCACACTTTCGTATCGCTTCACCGTGTCATGATCATGAAGGCTGTCGTAGAAGTTCCTTCTCATCAGATCCGACAGCTCGATACGCATCCGATATTGCAGCTTAAGTTTTGAGTAAGGAAATTCATTTTTGATTAGTCTTTCAAACAATGAAACGTCCAGATGATACTTCTTGGCCAGGTAGTACACGTTCGGTTTCGGTCGAAGTTGTTGATGATCACCGATGAGAATGAGCTGTTGACATGATGCATTTAATGCCGTGATGATGTGTGCCTCCAGGACCTCAGCTGCTTCCTCTACTACTACGATCTTTGGGCGGACTCTATGCAAAACCTTCTGGTGATTGGCTGCTCCAGTTGTAGTCATACCGATTATAGTTGCCTGTCGAAGGACTTGGTATTTCTGTACGTGTTTTGCTTCATCTAACTGACCACAAAGTTGCTTGAATTTAAGCACATTTGCTGGAAGTTTCCCTTTCAACTGTTGCAGATAGTTGTGCAACCAAACATGGTAAAGTGCCCATCGATCATTTGGACGCATACTCCAGACATCCATTAATTGAAGAGCACGTGGATCGATGACATCTTTGCCAGACATCTTCCTTTGGACGAACCTCCGCAAGTTACCGTCCTCTGCTTTGTTCAGATCATCTAAGTTAAGGCCAAGGAAAGGGTAGCCTTCGTTTTCCTCTTCATCAGAACCTTCCTCACCATATTCGTCATCAAACATTCTGTCAGACTCGATGGCACTTCGTTCATATTCTACCTCGACTGTTGCTCTGTTTGCCACAGGATAATGCTTTGTGATTTTTCCACTCTCTTCTTCTTGCTGATTATTTCTCTGTTCTAGTGTATCCTGTTTTGCTTTCTGGTTCCAATCCCTGTCATATTGACATTCACAGAGAAGCCACTCTACGAGCCAGGAGTTTAACTGTTTCAAATGGGAAAAACGCAGGAGGCTGTTGTAATGCTGCCGTGACATGAAAGGGTCTAGTTCGTACTCGCTGATGATCCCATTTCTTGTACCCTCTATCCTGGCTTGCGTTCTCTCCACACGCCTTTTTGCGGCGCCAACTTCTTTCTTGACATGACGAATCCTTCGTTGAACGTACTCTTCATCGTGTATTCCCCACCGACCAACCATCCGATTAAGGTTGAAGGACTGCAACTTCTCACTCTTGCTACGGCTTCCAACTCGTACGATGCCAGTGGGATGGAATGTTAAGATCCCCTCCAGAAACTGATCTAGCGCATGATTTGTGTAGCACACGAGTAAGATAGGGCTTGGGTTTTCTTTACTTGACCAGACTTCTCTGTTAAGGAGAAGAGTCTCTATGATCTTCAGACCTATGTGCGTCTTGCCGGTACCTGGTGGACCCTGTATGACAGAGAGTTCTTTGGTGAGAGCTGTCTTGGCAGCTTCATATTGTGATTGGTCGAGCTGTACATCGTCGATATCGGGCCAAGCACCATCGTCAAGCACGTCAATTGTTGGAGAGCATCCTTCTATGTCTTTCAGCAAAGGTGAGATATCGATACTACATGAATTGATGAACATTTCACCGTCTTCAGTTACCGTCCGATCTTGGAGATACCTGGGTGGCTTTACATCATGACACATGCTCAAAGTGTATTGGGAAAACGGCAAGCATGGACCAGACATTCGCTGGAGACCCAGGAGAACTGGGCGATAAGCTTCAAAGAAGACAGATGACTCTGCAATCACAAAACTTTTATTCAGTAGACATGATTCATCTTCATCTTCTCGGTCGACCAATGCTATGGCTACCATTCCCTTTTCTAGATCTTCTACGTCCCGATTGGCCACTGTAGCAAATATGAAAGACTTGAAATCATCCGTTGATAGGATGAGCAATGATCCGTACATGAGTCGTTTTGTCGAATGCCATCGGACATGGGGTAACTTCCTGAAAGCCATGTAATGTGAAATTCCGGAGAAATCAAGGACAGATTTTATGTAGTGAGCTTCCTCGTAGATTCGGACATCCTGAAGTTTGGCCCGTCTGTCAGGGTTCGCCTTCTTGAAAGTTAGGTACTCTGATATCCCATTGCGAAGAGGAAAGATGAAGTCTTCCTTCAGGAGTCTGAACTGAACATCCAGGTAGTGATCTGCATCGGCATATACACCCCTAGTCAGATGAGGGCGGAGAAACGGCTGATATCCGGGTTGCAATTCCTTGACAGTGGGAAGAATGTCTTGCTGGCGGAAGTCGTCAGGGGGTGGGTTCTTAGAAATGCGGTCCATCTGTCTTTTTGTATCCCTTTCTTTTTCAATGTCCTCAATGTGATTACTCACAGACTTAATTGACTTCATGATGTCATCACGTTTGTCGTCTTTATCCATGTCTGATACAGCATCGGACATGAGAGTAACAGCAACTTTGAGATCTGAAGCACGGCTTGGTAAACTTTGCATGGCTGAGAGGAAGACAATGGTGACATTCTTCAAAAGGTTTAACCGCCTTTCGTCGATTTTCTCTTCTGGACGCCTGACTTTGGTCAAAAACGTGAGTAAATGCTGACGACAGAGTTTGGAATCCATGGTCATTGTCAGCAGCATGATCACTGTTTGTTCTGCACCTAGAGCTCCGCACATAAATGCTAGAGCATCCCAAAAGAGATGTTGTCGTACCTCATCCATCGAGTCTTCATTGAGACCGGCTTGAAGGTTTCCTTTCAGGGACCCAAGTTCTGTAGCGGCCTCAGAAGGGTCTTTCTCAAGTATTTCGATGAGCAGTCTGGAACTTAGTGGTCCGAAGTTACCTTGGTTCTTACGGTATCTTCCTTGGGTCTGTCCATATCTGAAATGGTAGAATTGAAATGAGGTGCACCCGATACCAATACAGTCACAGTAAAAAATGATACAGTAATAACTAAGCCATATTATTAATCTGAAAAACAGATTACAAAGGTGCAACAGTAATGTACTGTAACTATTTGTCAGCTGTGTTATAGCTAAGTCACAGTGTTTTACTGTGCGTAATTTGTCGTAATTTTGCGCATTGGCAGGACAATGGTCTGTCACAGTGGCGGATCCAGGAATTTTTTACCGGGGGGGGGGGCACAAAATTGCATGGGGTGAAATCAGTAGCGTACACATGATTTTTTTCAAGGGGGGGGGGTAACAATTTTAAATCGGGGAGAAAATTTCGCAACTACTCAGCCAGCCGCAGAATAAGTGGTGGGGGGGGGGGGAGACATTTATATTTATTTTTTGGGGCCCCAAAAAAATTGCAGGGGGGGAGGGGGGGTAAGAGCACATTTTTTTTTTTTTTTTTTTTTGGCCGGGGGACGTGCCCCCTAGATCCGCCCCTGTGTTAGTTTTCTCTAAACCAGACTACATTTTGTCTTTATTTTTACAAATCTCGTTTTCTGTTTCTTTTTAATTCCCTAACCCTATGCCCCTATCTCTTTGTATCCCTTCTCCATTACTACTCACAATAGATGCTATCCCCTCCCCGTCTCCAATCTTTGACCGTAGTCCATTCCCCTCTCCCATCCTTTTCTCTACCTGTCCTATCGCAGCTTCGTCTGCCTCTACTTCGTTCCTCCCTCCACCCAATTCTCCCAAACATTTCCATTCCCCTCTCCCTCTCACATTCCCTCTCACATTCCCTCTCACAGCTCCCCACATCTCTCTTTCTCTACCATCCGTTTTCTGATTCCCTGCATTTTCCTTTCCTCCATTCCCTCCTTTCTTCCCTACTCCCCCTCTCCACACCCCTATCTACTCTCCTTTTTGTCCCTCCCTTCCCCCTCTTCCCTCCCTCTCCCTCCCTTTCCCTCTTCTCTGCATTCCTTATCCCCGCTCCCTGCCACCCCTCTCCTAACTCATTAATTCTGTATTTCCTCCGACATTGTCTCCACATTTCCTTCACTAGAACTCCTCCTTTCTCCCCTTCTCCACTTTCTTTCTACTCCACCCGTCTCTACTTCCCCTTCCTTCCCTCCTTGCCCCTTGTCCCCTCCCTTTACCCTCGATTGTCCTCCCTGTATTCTACTCTCTCCTCCTCGCATCTCCCCCTATGTCTTTCCCATCACGTCTCTCTCTCTCTCTCTCCATCACCTCTCTCTCTCTCCCTTCTTAATAACAATAATAATAATAATAATATTAATAATATATGAGACAAGCAGGACCCGCGAAAATCCACGGGATTCTAGGGGGATATAAATAGATATATAAATTGAAACCATCAAGAACTTCATTTGCCATTCTGAGGACACCATAAGTTCCCAATCTAGCTTTCGTTGGTATTCACATTGATTTCTCACGATTTCAAGGGTAAATCATGATTAGAACAGGACCCACGGAAAATCCGCGGGATTCTAGGGGGGGGGGGGGGTTGAAATAGATATAGAGACTTTCTAAATTAAAATCATCAGCAATAACTGTATTTGCAAATTAGAGCAAACCATAAGTTCCACACCCAACTTTATTTGCCATTTAAAGGACACCATAAGTTCCCGATCCAACTCTAGTTATTCTTTAAGCCCCGTATTAATGACAACAATTGTTGCTTCGGCGTAGTCCCTGGGTAAGTTATGAATAGGCAGGCATACGATGGCAAATTACTGTGCATATAGGCACCACGTACCTACAGCGTATGCAATTGGCGTACCTAAGCATACGATTGCGTATAACAGGCGTAGGTTTGCGTACGTTTACGTAGGCCTGCTGTACAGGTTTGCTTACGGTTGCTCACTGTGTGCACAATTAAAGCTTTTACTGCTTCGTCGATCTGGCGTAGGGTAGCGTACTGTTGCGTAGGCATGGCGTACAGTAGAGTTGCGTAAAAAAGGCATACTTTCTGCGTCAAGTGTTTACGCCGAAAGTACGCGAAAAAATTAAGCATGTTTAATTTTTTGCGTCCATCTCGCGTACCCCTTTGCGTCCCTCAGCATATAGTAACGTAGGCCAGCGTAGGGCAGTGTACGCTCAGCGTAGTCGGTACGCAACACTACGCAACTCTACGTATGGACCCCATGCCATTTAGTAACCTGCCAGTGTCTATGCTGGCTGGAAAAAGAAGTGGATTTCAGCTGCAATCATATTAATATGTTGGTAGACCTCCAACCAGACATTTCCCCCTCAGAGTGTAAATTGATGAAAATGTCTGGAAGAAATTGAGTTATAACAGATCCCTAACTGTTTCACACCATAACTCTGAATGGAAAATATATTTGAGTCTATACGTGCTGTAATTTAGAATAATACTTTGAAAAAATCTTCCATCTAATTGACACAAAGCATTCTATTCATGCAATTGATTTTAACAAGAAATCAATCTTCTTCGTCGTTTTACCCTAGAAGGACCCGTTGTCTTTATACAAAAATTAATCGCTATTTACGATCAAATAAAGATGTTTCAAGCCAATTTGAGAGGAAGTCTTTTTATTTTCCATCAAACTAAGCGAGAAGCAAACTCAAAAATATCTTTCATTTGAGAATTACGACACACAAAATGTGGGGTCCGTCTTGCCAGGCGTGTAGCTCCCCCTCCCCCCCCCCCCCAAAAAAAAAGCACAAGAAGAAAAAAAAAAGAGATGGAAAAAGTGGGGAAAGAGATAATTTTTATGAGTTTAAGGAGAAAGGAAAACATGAAAGAGAATTAAACAACGATAGAAGAGAGGTGCATACATTCGAGATAATTTTGCAAGTACTACTGGTGAAGTACCAGACCCCCGTCGTTGTGCTTTGTGCAGCAATGAAGCGTATACAACGTCTCGCGACGTGACAGATCACTTTTCTCTAACTTCTTACCAATTAGAAGGCCTCGTTTTTTTTCTCCATGAAGTACCGGTGGACATTAATGCGCCAAATGTGGTTCTCAAATTGCAAAAGATCTCAGTGGCGCATCTACGGGGGGATTTAGGGGGTTTACCCCCCCCCCCTCCCCCCCCCTCCCCCCCCCCCTTGGGGCTGCTAAGTGAAAATGTGATGTTCATAGAAAACGCCATCATGTGTCCAGACCCACACAGTATCCGCATTGTCATTGGGTCATACCCCACCTAAACTCTTACTTGATTTAAAAGACGTTATCACGCACTGCTTTTTATGGTCTCCATTGTGTTAGTATACAGATGCCAAGAAAAACATCACTTTACGGGGGTTCAAAATAGCAAAAAAATATTGCCTCGTCGCTACGCGGCTCGTGGATGAAGCTCGGCATCGTCATTGGGTCAGCCCCCCCCCAACCTTAATTGATTAAAAAGACGTTATCATGCAATGCTTTTTATGGTCTCCATTTAGTTGATGCCAGGAAAACATCAATTACGGAGGTTCAAAATAGCAACAACAATAAAATCGCCTCGCCGCTTCTCTGTATCGTCATTGGGTCAAATCCCCCCCCCCCCCCTCCTTAGCAAAAAGCTAATTCCGCCCCTGGATCCCTACTCTTTGAGGGGGAAGAAGAAAGCAATTTTACGTCATAATTATTACTCCAGGAACTGCCTGAAAATGCGCCTAATATGGTTCTAAAATTGCAAATGCTTCCTACTCACGGAGGGGGTTCCGCACCAGAATTCCACGGTGTGACGACGAAATATACAGTAGCGAAGTAGCGCGGGCGCGCGCGACGGATGACATTTTGTTCATTAGATTACTGTGGCCTACTAATAACCTAGATGACAAATAGAAACAGTATGATACTCATGGGATCTTATAACCTGGATGATAAGAATATTATCTGGTACAGAAACTACTGGGCACTTTTAAGTAATTTTCTACATTAGGTTAGCGTGTCGATATTTAGAATCAGGTGTGAAGTGAATCTATTTATATTGATTCATATTCATGTCATAAAAATCTTTTATTCAATTTTACCTATTCCCTTTCATAAATTTAAAGACTGATACAAACCTATTTTTAACTCAACGTTATACAAATGTGTCGCCATTTAAAAATATATATATTGACTTATTTAGCTGTTACAGATATATTCATATTTCAACGCATTATCATGCCTAAGAGAATAGCGGTTCAAATAGGCCTATGGAAAGAAAACATGCAAAGCAGTCTTTATTGAAGAAAGGTAGTGTATCCCTTTTCAGCAACGGTACTCACTCCTTCACGATTTTGTACTATACCTATTGTTTTCCTGTGTCCGATAGTCCTCTCTTCTAGATCTAGCTGCGTTCTGATCCACGTGGTCCCCTCTTTGGCAGCGGCCTCTAGCCCGAGCGCCTCGCTGTCCGTCGTGTTGCCTGTTGTAGCGCTGGCGGAATGGGCCTCCTCTGGTACCGTCTCTCTCGTCTCTAACTTCCCTTTCAGCTCCCCTATCTCCATCATTCCCCCCTTTTCTCTCAACTTCTGTGTCACTTCCTCGTCTTTGGAGGTTTTCTCCCCTAAATCTTTTAGCCATCATGGGGTCTCCTCTATCATGACTTCCTTCCCTCTTCTGTCTTCTCCATATAACGTTGTCTCGACACGTTGCAGCTCCTCTTCCTTGTCCTCTGGTCCCATCCCTTCGAAATTCTCTACGTCTACCCCTCCCAAGGTCATCTCCCGAGTAAGGACGAGACGCAAAACGGCCTCCGTTGTCATCACCATCATCACCCCACATCTTTGTCAACTTCTAGATATCTGGAGTATACAGAGAAACATATGATTCTATAAGAACATATGGATTAGGTTTTATAACATATTTGATTTTATTTGAATTGAATTAATCTTACTACTGGCTTATATATTAATTCAAACAAACATACCCATGCCCATTATTATGACATTGATACTACTTGTTTGGGCGTCCTCTGCGGAGATGGCATGATATGTGTTAAAGAGTGAGTGGAGCCGCTCTTTAAAAATTGACTAAAATTGGCCTAAAAAACTTCTTTTGATTTCAAGTTGACACTATATTATTTATAGTATAGTATACAAGTATATACAAACCATCATGTGTGGATTTTTAGAGACATAGACAATCCAATTCGGAAGACATTCCAGAAATTGATCCATCAAGTGGAGCATATAGCCACTTCCTACATGAAACTCATGAGTTACGTTCAATCATGTCAGATAACATTGAATCTATGTTACTTGACATGCTTAGTACAGTTGCAGTGCTTGATGCTATGTGCAAGAAAGTATACATCTTTACTGAGAAAATTATAAAAATTGAATCAAAGCTCGAATGTCTGGATACAAAGCATTCGGATCCTGAGAATGGAACTGGTTTTCTAGAAACAGACATCAGTCAGAGGTTGAGAATGTAAGAGCAACTAAAGCAGATTATTGATATGTAAATGAGCTGAGAAAGAACACCGCCGATCTAGTAAATAGAACTAAGCAAAACAAAGTCATCATTCACGGCATACCAGCAGGATTAGAAGATTCCGTAACCAAAGATCGCGCACAATAAATGAGTCCATGGTTTTTTGACCAGAACCATCCACGTAGAGCGCTTCGCTTCACTGATCCCGAGTCAATACTAAAGGGGCTTTCACACCGGGCCTTGCGTAGAGTTGCGTAGTGTTGAGTACCGACTACGCCGATCGTATGCAACCCTACGCCGATCCTACGCAACCATACGCCGGCCTACGTAACTGTACGCGGAAGGACGCAAATGGGTACGCGAGCTGGACGTAAACAAATTAACATGTTTAATTTTTTTTCGCGTACCTTCGGCGTTGACACTATACGCAGAAAGTACGCAGAAAGTACGCAAGTCTACGCAACGCTACGCTACTGTACGCCATCCCTACGCAACACTACGCTACTGTACGCCGTCCCTACGCAACACAACGCTACTGTACGCCATTCCTACGCAACACTACGCTACCCTACGCCAGTCCGACCACAGCACACAAGACGATGCTGATGGTGAATGTTTATATGGGTTTATATGAACTGTGAATCATAAGAAATTTTTAATCGGTGTTTCAGGGTGATGAAATACTGTTATTGTTGCTGTGATTTTTAATGTATGATAACATGCATCTTGTGATTATGTTCATGTATAATAACATGTCAAAGTCCTGTTAAATTACACACTTTAATTTTCAGAGTGTCAGCAGGAGTTTATTGTTAATTTTTAGACTGTTTTTATCATTATGGTAATCATTACTTCGTGATTCAGAAGAACTAATGTAATTTGTGTTGGTTATTTCCATTTAAACTTCACGGTTTAAATTTCACAGTGTTATAGCAGGAGTTTATAAGTCAGATTTTTTTCCCGACAGTCATTATTACTGAAATTATAACTTAATTCACGATCAAGTTATCTGGTAATTATGTTCATGTCTAATAACATGTAAACGTCTTTTAAATGTCACAATTGTCTAACTGATTTTATTAAAGCATTCATTACCTCATGATAAAATTATCGTTGCGTAACAATATGCAAAAGTTTTTGTAAATCCAGAGTGTCAGCAGGAATGTGCTTGATACACTTCTTGTTATACAAAACTGTACATTAGTGAATTAAAGTTGTAGTATTTACAAGAATATCAGTCATGTTAATTTCTTCCACATCTAGGTGAAATTTTATTTGATCGATTTCTTTTTCTGTTTACAAATAATCTCGCCCTTTTAGTAATTTGGTTTTGAAATCAGCATCAATGTTTTGTAATACTTGAATGTTTAATATTTTTGTTTACATGTGTGCGTTCTCACATTTATTTTTTTCATCAAGAAAAGGTGTTTCTTTGACTTTATTTTGTATTCTTAATATCAAAAGGTATTTCTGACTGACATGTTTTGCTTTGTTATGGTTTATTCAATTTGTGATTTTTATATCTCAAGGGGGGAGATAAGATTCACAAACGGATGCCTCACGCGAAATGTTATTATGTTTTGTGGAAATCTGTATGTATTTGTGTGGGTTCATTTGCTCGTGTGTACGTTTGTGGAACTGTTATTATGTTTGTAATATAATTTTGTTTGACTGTGGGGACTACACCGAAGCATCATTATATTCATGAATACGCAGCCTAACTTCGGCGTAGTCGGTACGCAACACTACGCAACTATACGCAGATCCGATGTGAAAGGGGCTTAATGCCCGCGTCACACTGTACCGAAGTTGACATAAGATGGACACACGATGAAGGAACATTCCAAATTCGGCTCTGATCGTAAACACATCGGGCCAAATCGGGCCATTCGTGAGGGCATCAGAGGCAATCGTATCACTGCCTGTCGATTTTTCAGGCTCCGGCAGCAGCTTCGTGAGCGGTGGCAAAATCTTTGGCGTGCCAATATTCGTGTTGTATTCGTGAGTCCGTGTTGCCCTTCGTAGGGTCATCGTGAGGGCATCTTGTCAAATCGTGTCATCTTCGTAATTACTTCGTGTGATCATCGGTGTCATCGGGCACTTATCGCCTCACGAAGACAATACGAAGGAAACAAGAACCTGCCCGAATGTCTTCGGAAGGCAACACGACTACGTGAAACCCTCGCATTGCCATCTTGAAGCCATCGTATTATAGTACGATGACATCCAGATGGGACAACGGTGTCGCCGAAGACACCGAATTTAAGTAGCTCAAGCGTTTCCCATGTGTCATGGTAACGTGGACATATGTTGCAATAAGCTATAATTCTCGTATCTATACTGATTTGTTTTTCAGATTCAATATAGCATGTTATGCAATGTTTTATATTACATTATGTGTTTTTAATTTTGCTTGTAAACTTTTGTTATTCGGCTAAACGTCGCGATGAAAGCTTTATTTGAAATAAACCATTTTGAATGAATGAATAAATGAATATAAAAAGCCAGCCTCATAGCCAGAGGCTTTTTCAAGTACCCCAAAAGTGCCCTTTCTTACGTAGGAAAGTGCCCCTATAGCTTCACAAGAAGTGCCATTTTTTACAGAGCAAAAGGGCCCATTTTACCAATAAAAAGTGCCCATTTCACTTTTGACAAGTGCCCCCTACACCTCTGATAATTACCCTGTTCAAAGTTGAGAGGTGCCCCTTTTACTTTGACCAATGCTTCTTTTCCTTTGTAGGAAGTGCCTCTTCCCATTTTAATAACTACCCACTTTAACTCCCATATAGCACAGCTTTTATTTTCACGTGTGCCCCTTTTCCAATCTAATAAGTGACATCTTTTCCGTATGATAAGTACCCCCATTAAAACAAAAGAGCTCTTTCCCCTTCTCATAAATGCCCCCCTTTTAACCTAAAAAAGTGTGTCCCTTTTCATTCTCATAAGTACCCCCTTTCCATATCTAGTCAGTGCCTCTTTTCAGGGGCCATAAATGCGCCTTTACACCTCTGTCAATTTCCTTTTTAACAATGATACGTGCTCTTTTTCCTTTCTAATATAAGTGGCCTATCCCCTTTTCATTAATTCCTATTTTTAACTCTTATGAATGCCTCTATCAAAATCTGATGGGTGCCCCAATTCAGTCGACAAATTCCCATTTACCATTCTCAAGTGCCTTTTTAATGGTGACATTTGCTCCGCGAAATTTCCTCCGACGTCAAATGCTCTGCAGACACTTGCTCCGCCAACATTTGCTCCGCCGACATTTGCTCCGCCGACAATTGCTCCGCCGACATTTGCTCGGCCGACAATTGCTCCGCAAAACCCGACAAATGCTCCTCGAACGACATTTGCTCCGACGACATTTGCTCCGACGACATTTGCTCCCCATGAAGCGACGTTTGCTCAGGTGACATTTGCTCCGCCCAAAAAGTGTCCCATAAAAATACAAATGATACTAATACTACGACAAATGATTCGCCGACAATTTTTTTTATCACGGGTTACTTTGGTTTCTTTTTTTCTTCATTTTCTGAATGCATTTCATGAAATAATGTAGATGAAATGAAATGTATGAATGTTGATGATGTGGGAAGAAAAAGGAGTTACCTAAAAGGAATTTCGAATATACTGAAATAACTTTCCATTTATCACTGAACGTCCCATATAATGTACACTCACACTCATTACATGTCGTGGGAAGTTTTTAAAAGAAAGTAGAGCAGCAAGCCACATTCCCCAATACGCGCATACCTCCTAGTTAATTTCAAACAGCTCATCAATATGTACATGTAAAGGCCCGGTCACACAGGGGGGACGCATGGGGAACGCATGGCCAGCGCATTGGACATTTGCAATTTTGGCCAGTGCGTTGTCGTGCGCCCAACTTTTGTCGAAGCTACAGCGAGCTGACACCAAATGCATAGCGTGTTGCTAGCGCGCTGAGCGCATACAGGGCGCATACAGTGTGCCTACAGATCGTACACAGAGCGCACATGATAACAACTTCCACGAATGCACAGCGTGTTGCTAGCGCGCTGGACGAATGGTCCACGAATGCACCGCGTTCTCAACAGAGGTGGTCACACATAGACGACGCACGGCCCGCGCATTGGAAATCGGAAAAGGCCGTGTGCCTCAGTTTTGTCATGATTTTGGAAAAGCTAGCGAGCTGACACAAAATGCACAGCGTGTAGCTAGCGCGCTGTGCGCATACAGGGCGTGTGCTCCGCGTATGTCTGGCGATGGTCTAGCGCGCTCCACGCATGTCTGGCGTGCCTTTGGCGTGTACATTCATGCGTCGAGATCCGCGCACACTTTTGAGCATGCTAAAAAAAATCCCGACGCACACAACGAATGACGACGAATGCATAGCGTGGGTCCAGCACGCTCGACGAACGAGTAACGAATGATGACGCACGCCTGGCGAACGACAACGCACTGGCCCAAATTGCAAATTTCCAATGCGCTGGCCGTGCGTCCCCCATGCGTCCCCTCTGTGTGACCGGGCCTTAAGACCTGACCTCAATGTAAGCAAGCACATGCAACTTACTAGGTAAGTAAAGCATTATACAATGTACTAGGTCATCATGGAAGTTCTAGAAAACAACAGGGGAGGGATCAAAATAAGCTTTGAAGGGCACTTATACGTAAAGAAGAGAACTCATTCAGACGGGAAAATTAGATGGCAGCCTCTCTGCTTATTCCATTTTATACAAATCATTTTGTTGCAGTTTGATGTTAGTTCAACTTCCAACTTCGAAATTGTAACAACATTGATACCTTTAAATCTGAACTCAAAACCTATCTTTTCCGGCAACATTGCGAATAATATGTGACATATTGAGGGAGCCAGGCGCCTTTGAATGCTTTTGCAGATAAATGGCGCTATACAAATGCTGTTCATCATCATCATCATCATCATCAGTTCTTCATGATAAGCCAATTGCTCTTCTTCCGGTAGTTCCGTGAGTCCCTTAAAGTCAGTGAAAACAAAGTACTCGAATGAGATGGGGTGTTTTACACACTAATATATATATATATATATATATATATATATATAGTAAAGCACTTAACTGAAGGAAAGGAACCTATAGAAAATGGACTGGATATTATTGAAAATACTATTCTAAACAAAAATGTACTTCATGTACTACATTACGTTACAATTTCACGAGAGAAATAGAACTCGAGAGGGGGAGAAGAGAAGAAGTGATGAAAATGAAAGAAGACTAATAGCATGAAAGGAAAGAAAAGAGCTAAGAAGACAAGAAAAGGGTGTGAAAAGGAAAAGGAGGAGCAAGAGAGAGAGAAAGATAGCCTTGAAGCTTTGGATCAGCTAATGAGTAATACTTGAAACAGATTTTAAGCGGAGTAATTATCTTTCGCCGGAGAACTTGCTTAAACGTGCCCCTAATTCAAAGTGATTATTAGGGCGATTTCTCCCAAAGCTCGCTCGCTACACTCACTCCCATTGATTTCATAGATTATATAATTATGTTACTTATAAGGTCTTTTCAATCTTCCGTTATGAGAATGTGAGTATAACCCCATCAGTATTGGATTTAGTTCTCTTTATAAGATGTAATTTTTTGCACTACGACCTCACAAATCTTAACATCTTTCCTCGCTCTCATATGAATATTCAGACCATCATACCCAACTGCAAAATAGGATGCTTAAACAATATCTTGTATGATGAACAAAGAGAAATATATATTGAAAGCATCCCTGTTAATGTAACCATAATGTATAGGGGTGCATACCAATGTCTAACAAATTGTATATTTACGATTTGAGATTTCCCTTTGTAGGTGCCCTTTTTTGTTGATCCCATCCCCCAATTTGGAAGTCGCTCCGACGCCCCTGCTCTGAGCATCATTAATTTCCGATCAGCAATTGAATTTCCCACCGTCGGTCGGAGATTTTATACCATCGGGGGGTCACATGACGCCTTCGTGACCTAGTTGGAACGCATCGTACTCTCAATACGACGTCGTGTAGCCATAGTGTGGCCTTCGTGTGGCCTGCGGGTACACTTCTTATTACAAATTCACATCTTCGTGCTGCCTTCGTGAGTGCATCGGGTGCCATCGTGTGACTTTCTGTAGGCATCGTACTTGTTTCGGATTTTGGTTGGCTGTTGACCAAGTTCGGGGCCATCTTCGTGCGAAGTTTATATTTTCTTCATCGTGTGTCCATTTTATGTCAATTTCAGGACAGTGTGACGCGGGCATTGTACAGCCCGGCACTAAAAATGTTCGAATCCGTTGTGTAAAGGTGGGAATCAGCGACGATGTTAAACCAGATACGTGAAATACACACAAACGGCTAATAACGAAAGTCAGGCAATTACGAGATGAAAATAAGTTTACGTTCATCCTAAACCCTGCACCGAGGTTGATTAGTTTTAAAATTGTCCCCAAAGATGCCCCACGATCCCTAAAAACGCTCTGATCTTTAAATCTTCTTACCAATGGCAAAGAAGATGACACTAATGAATGTTAACATGTTGAAACAATAACTTCACCAAAAATATGAACTCGGCAATCGTCAACGAAATTTGTCTTTACTTTGGTACAAAGAAATGGGGCAGGGGCGACCGAGAATTGTCGAAAAATATATTTTGACTGTTGTTTACTTTGTTCTGTTTCGTGTCACCTTAGCTACGATCCGTGTACTTGTGTTTATTTAAGGCCTAATATGTGTAGTTAAAATTGCTCCAATTATACTCTGACTAACGACATTAGACAGACAATCCAAGAAAGGGGTTGTTCATGTTGTCCACTGAGCGAAAATAAGTATTAAGTATTAAGTATTTCGTGACAACCTCATAATGACCTTGGAACTCATAATACGAAAATGCATATTCTAACGTATAATTAAATTATCGGATCTTCTTGACGAAAATGGTAATATCTTTTAACCTTCTTTCAATTTAGAAACAAATATAAGTTTGAATACAAGTTTGTAGAATTTTATTCTATGAAAACGGCTATTCCCCATATCCCTAAAGGTTCAGAGGCAGACCTAGCAGCTCAAGAGGAAATGATTAAAAATATAATGAAGGTAGCGAAGATATGTCGCTATATTCATAATTTAATTGTTCAACAGGTTTTAATCCCCCTAAATCAATAGATAAATGGAATTCTCTGTTTAATATCCCAGACATGGACTGGTCTTTTTAAAAAATAG